ATCCTTGTTCCTAGGAAAAGTGCTCTGAAGTATTTAGGAGGGAATTGGACCTGCTTGTTACTATAGTGATAATAACAATAATGACGATAATAATGACTCTGGTAAGAAAGTGACACCTCTTGCTGGAGGTAGGGACAGGATGAATAGCTCTCTTTGTGTCCAGGAATTCCACCCCCAGGGACTTCCACATTCACAATTGCCAGAGAGCAAAGACTCATAGATCCTAATGCCTGTCATGATGTAACAGAGTGGGTGGGGATGTTCTAGAATATAAGGAGTGGTGGCCAGAAATTGAGACATTCAGGGCAGTAAAAGTAGGTCACTGGCCCTACTTTTTTTTTTTTTTTTGAGAGGGCATCTCTCATATTTATTGATCAAATGGTTGTTAACAACAATAAAATTCAGTATAGGGGGGTCAATGCTCAATGTACAATCATTAATCCATCTCAAGCCTAACTCTCGTCAGTCTCCAATCTTCTGAAGCATAACGAACAAGTTCTTACATGGTGAACGAATTCTTACATAGTGAATAAATTCTTACATGGTGAACAGTACAAGGGCATTCATCACAGAAACTTTCGGTTTTGATCATGCAATATGACCTATAAACCATCAGGTCAAATATGAATATTCATTTGATTTTTGTACTTGATTTATATGTTGATCCCACATTTCTCCTATTATTATTATTATTTTTATTTTTAATAAAATGCTGAAGTGGTAGGTAGATGCAAGATAAAGGTAGAAAACATAGTTTAGTGCTGTAAGAAGGCAAATGTAGATGATCAGATGATCAGGTGTGTGCCTATGGACTAAGTATTAATCCAGGCTAGACAAGGGCAGCAAGACATCCACGGATGCAGAAGATTTCTCTCAAAGCAGGGGGGATGAGGTTCTGAGCCTCACCTCTGTTGATCCCCAATTTCTCACCTGATGGCCCCCCTGCGACTGTGCCTGTCTTAGGTTGTTCCTCCCTTGAGGAATCTTACCCGTCTCTGGCTAACCAGTCATCTTCCGGGCACTGGCCCTACTTTTGATGTGTCAGCAGCAGGGACTTTTCTTGGCGTAGAGAGGCAGGACAGGCCATTTTAGGCAGTAAGGGAATGGTCTCAAAGCCAACAGCATTTAAATGGAAAAATCCTTACTAATTCATGCCATTTAAAGGAATGTGATATAAGACAATGAAGCTTTCACGTCACCTATGGTTAATTTTCTGTGTCAGCTTAACTGGGCTAAGGGATGCCCAGATAGCTGGTAACATTATAGTGTGTCTGTGAGTGTGTTTCTAGAAGGCATTAGCATTTGAATAGGTAGACTGAGTAAAGAACATCTCCTTTACCAGTGTGGGTGGGCATCGTCCAAGCCATTGAGGGCCTGAATAGCACAAAAAGGCAGAGGAAGGATGGATTTGCTCTCTGCTTGAGCAGGAACAGCCACCTTCTCCTGCCCTCGGACACCAGCCCTCATGGTTCTCAGGACTTTAGGTTTGGCCTCCCTGGGCCTCCAGCTTGCAGGCAGCAGACAGTGGGACTTCTCGGCCTCCAGATCAAGTGAGCCAGTCCCTCCTAATGAATCTTGGCTCTACTCCTCTGGATAACCCTGACTAACACAGTCAGGAATCGTGCTAAGCACTTCACAGCACACCATTTAATCTTTACAACCTCCGTTTTACAGAAATTGGGACAGAGCCTCAGAGCACTTAACTCACCCGAGTTCACACAGCCAGTGGGTGGCAGAAGAGTGTCCCGTCCCAGCTATGTCAACTCCTACCTCTAGAGGTTTTATGAGCAGTGAAAAGCAAGAAGCCATCAAATGTATATTTGAGAAACAGACTTGAAGTACCATGGCAAGGACCCAGAAAGTCCTTGGAAGAAAAACAGAGCTGGCATTTCTCTTGCGACTTTGAAGACTGTCTAGAACTGAAACTAGCAAACTGAGTCTGCAGCGATGTGTCCCGCTGGGAGAACACAAACCCCAGACCCTGGCTGGGACTCTGGTGTGGTCACCGCCTGGAGGACGCCCAAGCCAACAGAGTAAACAAGAGCTCGGGCGAGTCCTTTTGCTGGGAAAGACCAGGAGGGCATTGCCAAAAGCGTGAGATCTCCCTCTCCCACTGCCTATCCTATGATTCCTGGTGAGGTTCACCCATCCTCAGGGCCCCAGCCAGAGGGCCAAAGATACCAACCATGAGGAAGTCTCACTGTACGGCCAGCACTTCACTCACTCGTCCATCTATTCATTAGTATATTCACCAAGCATTTATGGAGTTCCCATTATGTGCCACACAATGAGATAGATGCTGGTGTGAGGTGCAGCCATACATAAATTGGGGCCTTTGTATATGTTAAGGGCTGGGAGTAGTAATTACAGAACCACTAAGTAAGAGTCAGATTTAATCTGTGATATGGTGATAACAGCTGCACTTTGTTAAAAAGACACCATTGCCAAGCATTTTGCGAATGATAAATATAGATCAAGATCATTGCATAATGGTTTTATATATATATATATCTAACTACATGACATATAATTTAAACCTTTCTATAAGACTCTTAGATGCAATTAGCAACCATAATTTATAAATGAGGAAGTTGAAGCTTGCTGAGTGAGCCTAAGTTATTTGTCCAAGGCCACATATCTGCTAAACAACAGAACTAAAATTTAAAAGCAGGTCCATTTCACTGCAAAGCCCAGAGCCTAGCACGAGGCATGGAGCTGGGAGATGGTGTAGAGAGGGTTGAGAACATGCAATCTGGAGGAAAACTACCTGGTTTGAATGCCAGCTCTGCTGCTTCCAGGTTGTGTGAACCTAGGCAAATTACCCACTTCCGTGTGCCTCAATTTCCTCATTGTAAAATGAGGGCAACAGCATTATCTGCCCCCTGAGCTTATTATAAGGTTGAAATAAGTTCATAAATGCAAGATGCTTTAGAAGTGCTATGTGTTTGCTTTGTGTATAGAGAACTTAATTTGACCAGGAGACCTCAAAAGCTAAGAGGGCAGAAATTCGAGCTAAAAGAGAGCCTGAACTAGTAGAATAGGGTTCTGGGGAATGCAGCAGGTGCTCATAGAGCCCCGTGGCAGGCTTCCTGATCAGTTAGCCCGGAGTCAAGGTGGGGAGTCAGGACGCTGAATGGATCTGGGTAACTCAGCCCTTTCTGCGCACTGCCTCAGAAAGGGACGCCTGGGGAGCTTTAATATTGGAGGTCACAGGGACATTCCTTATATGGCAGAATTCTAACTCAGAATTCAGAATCTGAAATGACAGCAATACTAAGTCCTTTCTCTCTTTATTCTCTGCTTACCAGATTTTCCTAGATCTGCTTCCACGGAATCCCTTCATACACTTCAAATTCTGCCTCTCTCCCCACCCCCCACAAATATTGCTTTCATAATCTTTCTAGAGTATATTACAGAGGAGGGTTTTATAAATGGCTGGCCAGGATGCTTTATTCCTCCCCCCAACTCTCTTTTGTGGGCACGGTGTACAACCATCCTCCTTCTAAGGCCCTAGTACACACCAAGCTAAGAAAACAGAAAGGGGATTTTTGCAATGCTGCTTGAGATATATATAAAGAAGCAGAGGCCATTTCGGCACAACTCTGAGGAGTTATGCTAAGAGGCTATTAGCTTCAGCACATCCTTGACCCGCAGGGATCCCGTACAGTTCCGCAATATGCAATATGCACAATAAACAATGAATGACCACTTGAGCCAAAGGCTAAAGAGAAAAAGAAGTGGGGTGAAGAGAAGGGAGTGGGAGGCTGAGCAGAGAAGTCTGACACCCCAGGAGGCTGTGAGAAGAGAGGCTCTCAGGATATCAGGGGCATGAAGGCTCATGAAAGACAGAAGGCTCAGCAACACCATGGGCTAAGCAAAGAGAAAAAGCACTGCTGGTTCCCAGCCAACATAGGTTCCTTGAATCAGCTCCTTCTGGGTTCCACGTGAGATCCATCAATAGCAAGTCTAGATGATGGAGATTGCACAGACCCACCCTCTGTGGTTAAGGGCATAGAAAGAGCACTATAAGTGTTGAAAGAGTGAGTGAGTGCCACTGTCACTCAAATAAGCAGCTTTGACTGACAAATGACAGGAAGATACCAGGCAGTGGGTGCTCGCCATGTCACAATCGTGGCCCCAGACGTTGCCGAGACTCCCTCTAGGGCCTCCACGGGAGTGCCCTTTGGTGCCACCTGGCCACAGGACTTTGCATGGCATGGGATTCCTTGCAGCCTGCCATATTTGCACTGGGGCGCTGAGAGACAGCTCTCCGCATCCAGGAGCTCCAAGAGCCTGAGAGAGGCAGCTTATAAGCAAGCACTTTGGAGTCATGACACCTGGGTTGGAATTTTGCTGTGTCACTTCTCAACTCTGTGACTTTGGACAAGTTTTTAATTGCTGTGAAATTCACTGGAATGTAAGACAGACATGATATCAAACTACTGCAAATGATTCTTAGGAGGAAAAAGTAGACCAAAAACATCAGATTCGTCAAGACATTGCCTAGAACAGTAGGCATTCAATAAAATACAGACAATACTGAGAAGGAAATTCAAGTGCTATGATGGGACCAGAGAGTCCTACTGCATCCAGAGAGCATTGCCCATGAGGGCTCAGAGGAGAAAGTGCTTGACTATTTTGGGAAGTAGGAAGAGGAGAGAGGCTTAGAGAAATTAAGTGACCTGTCCAAGGTCACACAGCTTGGGCTAATTTCTGCAACTCCTCTGCCAAGTAGAGGTTTAGCTGCCGCTTCATGCTTACCCCATCATAGTGCTCACCACCATGAACTGCAGTTGTCTCACTGACTGGGTCCCAGGACTCTCCCAGATACATCTGCTCAGACTGGTCACTGTGAAATAAGCCCTATTTCTGTCATCAGATTGTCAGCAATTTGAGAGCAAGGGCCATGACTCTTTCATCTTTCTATTTCCCTAGCACCTAGCACCAGGTTTGGAACATAGAAGTCCTCCATAAATATTGAATACTGAACTGATGAGTGAATGGTGCTCACAGGAGTGGAGGGGCTCATTGAAGGTCCTTGGCTGGTGAGCAGTAGGGCCGGTGCTCTGACTCTGGTCCTGGGCTTTCCCCTCCAACACTGAGCGAAGGAGAAAACCCACCGCACAGTGAATGGCCCTGCCTAGGCCTGGAGTCCCTCTTCTCCATCTAACCAGAGCCTGTCAAGGAGAGAGGCGAATCCACCTATCCTTCCTAAGACTCAACTCCTTTGTCTTCTCTTTAATTCTCTTGCCCTCTGTGTCCCCTCCTTCCTCTCTCCTCTTCCCTCTTCTTCCTCTTCTGCTTCTGCTGCTTCCTCTCGCCTCTCTCCCTCCTATTTCTCCCTCTCTTCCTCCCTTTCCCTACTTTTCCCTCCCTTGTCCCTTTCTCTTTCTCTATATATATACACATATACCTATTCATGAACCTACACATATACATGGTGGAGCCCTAAAAAAAATTGTAGGAGCCCCAGAGGAGGAGTATCAGGGATTAAAAAACATGAGAAGCTCGAGACCCAAATGTCCACCCACACATCCAGTTTTCACAGATCATGCTATGCCTCCATCTGACCAGCAGAGGGCGAGCTCGGATGCCCCCGGCATCCCGGCCCAGATAACCAGTCGTCTTAGGTGCCTTGGTCTCGGAGGAGATGATGGATTTTTTTTCACAAAGAGGGAAAAACCACCAGAGCTCAAGTCTCTTCCCAATTATCCCGCCTGTGTCAACCTCACCTGTCCTGTTTCTCAGAAGGCTGTCAATGATAATGTTGTTCTGTAATAGGCGAATAATGGAAGGAGATGCTCTCATGAATCAAGTTCCTTTGTCACTGTACAGATTCTGAAGCCTGAAGCCTAAGCAGTGACATGATTAACTAGCCGGTACCAGGGAAACCAAGCTCTGATGATAGCTTTAATTTTAGAAATTTGAACTGGAAGGGACTTTAAAAATCATCATTTTACGGAGGACTAGAAAAGTTTGGCTGACATTTCACAGGAGATCAGGGGCTACGGTAAACACTCACCTACTTGCTAAATTACAGACAGTCTAGATTATATTTATTTTCCCTTGAACAGTGTGGAGTTTTATTTCAGCAGGCAGCTAAGTTACTAACAGACCATCTTGATCTTGTTGAGTCTTGGTTTTGCATTTTGTTAGAATATGTCTAAAGTTGCGCTGACTCCAGGACGAGATCCTCATTCCTAAAACATGGCCTCTTTGATGTCTGCACTAAATTCCCCCAGTTTTCATGAGATCACTTCACTCAGAATGGTTGAAAGTCCAACATCTCAAAGCACTGTATGACCTCTGGGGTCCTTGTTCAGCTTTCAGCCCCTGGGGGTTTCTCTGCCAGCCCTTGGGGAATCTTACCCTGCATATAATCATACTGGTATTTAGTCAAAGGCCCAAGAAGTTTTCTATGCATATTTCTGAAGCTTCTCTTCTGCAGTGTCCTTTTCAAATGCCAGCCACCTCAGAAGCCCAAACTCCAGTATCTGTTTCTGTCACTCAGCAAGACTTTGTTCCTCATTTGGGCTATTCTCTACTTAGCAGGACCTCAGTGGAGATTAAATATGATAATCTGATAATTATGTGAGCATCTAGCTAAATAGTAGAGTAAATCCTGTACAATGTGTTATTTTTATTCATTCTTTCTTAAGTGTTTAAATGATGCTCAGAGAATGGAACACAATGTATAATGTACTGGGCCACATGAAAAAACCAAAATATTTTCCACATATAAATACCATTTTTTAAAATTGTTTAAGATGGTTATTAAGAATCAAGCAGTTCAATTAGGAACAATGGGGAGTGTCACGTCCGTCCCACACCTGGCATGTTCCTTCCTGACTCTAACATTCTCTCATTTGTATTATTTGTAAATGTCTATATCCCGTGCCCACTCTTCCAACCTCATCTTAGATTGTTAAGCTCCTTTGAATGCAGAGACCAATTTTATCCATATTCATCCCTTTTACAGACAGTGGCACAGCGATAGTAGATTTATTCAAATATTATTAAAATATTTAAATGGAGCCCTTTCTTTCTCTCCCCTCCGCTCTCCCAGACACACTTCCCGGCACGCTTTCCTTCCCCCGCCTCTGGGTCCCGCACCTTCCCCTCCCCCCGCCTCCTGCCTGGTGACATAGCCCGGACCCTCCCAGGCGGCAGCCACGGCTTCAGCACTAGCCACCAGCTCCACGGAGGGAGGCCCGCGGCTCAGCCCTCGCCGGCCCCGCCGCTGCTGCAGTAGTGGCTGCTGATGGGGTGGACGAATGCTCGCCACTGCTGTCAGCATCCCCCTCGGGAAGCGTCACTCCCACGGCCCCACCGTACTTACAAGAAAGCAGCCCTAGAGCGGAACTCCCACCTCCATATACAGTCATTGCCAGTCCAGATGCCAGTGGTATTCCAGTAATAAACTGCCGAGTGTGCCAATCTCTTATCAATTTGGATGGCAAGCTTCATCAGCACGTGGTTAAGTGCACAGTTTGCAATGAAGCTACGCCAATCAAAAACCCTCCAACAGGGAAGAAATATGTTAGATGCCCTTGTTAATTGTCTCCTCATTTGTAAGGACACATCTCGGCGAATAGGATGTCCGAGACCCAACTGTAGACGCATAATTAACCTTGGCCCAGTAATGCTTATTTCTGAAGAACAACCAGCTCAACCTGCATTGCCAGTCCGACCAGAAGGTACGAGGGTCGTGTGTGGGCACTGTGGAAACACATTTCTGTGGATGGAACTGAGGTTCAACACTTTGGCAAAATGCCCACACTGCAAAAAAATTTCCTTGGTGGGTAGTGCTCTTCCGCGAAGATGTTGCTGTGCGTATATTACCATTGCAATGATATGTATTTTCACTGGAGTTGGATTAACTGTTGGCAGCCAAGATTTTGCAAGACGATTGCATGCAACCTTTGTTTCTTGGGCAGTTGGTTATCTCTTAGGTTTGATCTGCCTTATCCGAGCTTGTTTTTGGGGAGCCATAAGAGTGAGCTATCCAGAACACAGTTTTGCATAAGCTTGCTTATGATTTAGTGAGCAGGTAATAACATCTAGCAGTTCTTGACAAGCTACTCTGGACATCCTTAAATCATTTATCCTAATGGATTCCATTCTTGTTTATGCATAAAGTTTCAAGACTTTGGGAGTCTTTTTTGAACAAATGCTCCTTGCACTACATTATATGCAAAGAGTTTGTTTTGATTGCTGTTTGGTTTTCACGCTCTGAATAGTGAAGCTGTATCTTCATGTTCTATTACATCTTGTAAAGATGTTTTTAGATTTGTCACCAAACATCATTTTTTCATTATTTTTAAATTAGTTATCCTATTACTTGCTGATCTGTGAGTATTCTCAAGAAGTGTTTAAAAATGTTTCTACAATAACTTCACATTTATACTTACATTTTAATTAAAAAGTATCAATATTGCTTGCTTTAAAATCTAAGCAATATGCATTTTGCTTGAACTGCTTACTGCAACTTTAACCTAAGATCATAGTGACCTTATTTAGGAAAAAAATTGGGGTGTACCTTCAAACACTTGACATTCTTGTCAGATAAGAACCATTTCTAGATACTGTTTGCTTGTTTTTTGTTGTTTGTAGGAAAATACAATATTTTGGTAGTAATTTAAAATTCAAGAATGAAAATATTTATTTGTCCGCAGTCGGTGATAATGTTGGATAAATGTTTTTTCTTTAAGTTCACAGAACTTTGTCTTCCATTTTTGTCTGTTTTTGTTGTTGTTGTTGTTGTTGTTTGCCAATTATAAAAGTCCTGGTCTAGATTTATGAAATTTAATGTTAATCAGCTGTATGTATTCCTTTACAGAGCCTGGAGAGGCATTTCAGGTAACATGTTTTTATAACACAACCATTTAAACATAGATCTATTTACATTGGGTTGTCCCCCTTTTCATTTAGACCATGGTAAATATTTCTTACTGGGATAATTATGGACTATTTACATATGAAGGGAGCCTATAACATTTTTCACTAGCTAAAATGTTGAGATTAGAGGTAGTTACTTTTGCCATTCTTCTCAAATATAGATGGTCTAATTATTACCAAGTTCATTGAAAGGAATAGATCAAAAACAAAAAGTAACACAGTTCTCTAAGAATTTACTCGGGTTTAAGGAATCAGCTCTTGGACTGCCCATCTTTGCAGTTTTGAAAAAGAAATTGCTTAATTGAGAAATAATGTTCTAAAGCCTTTAATGTAGTAGAATTAGGTAATGAGATGATCTGAGTAAATTAGGTGGCTATTCCAGGGATAAGAATATTTTAAGTTATTTATGTTCCTGATTAGTATAAAAATGTACTCACCAGAGAGTTGGTAACAAAATACATGTAAACTTCAAAGAGTAAATGATAAATGTCTACATGAAGTAGCTCAGGATCATATGTACCTTTGAAAATATACTAATAAAGACTATTGTAAAAAAAAATTTTTAATGGAGTAAAAATGTGATTTTTCACACAGGAAAATAAAAAATGGAATTATGCACATGCCACCCCAAAGCAATCTGTCATGAAAGTGAAAATAAATTATCCCATTACTGGCTCCACTCAATACTGAACAACCAGCCAGGAGTGGGGGACAGAGACTTGCTTTCAAATCCTAGCTCCCCCATTTACTCAGTGGATGACTGTGAATTAATTAATATTTGGGGCTTCATGACCTAAGTGTTCATCAGTAGATGAATGGATAAAGAAGATGTGGTACATATCCACAATGGAATATTATTCAGCCATAAGAAAACAAATCCTACCATTTGCAATAGCATAGATGGAGCTAGAGGGTATTATGCTCAATGAAATAAGCCAGACAGAGAAAGACAAGTACCATATGATTTCCCTTATTTGTGGAATATGAAAACAAAGCAAAATTGAAGGAACAAAACAGCAGCAGACTCCCAGACTCCCAGAAAGGACTAGCAGTTACCAAAGGGAAGGGCCTGGGGAGGGAGGGAGAAGGGGATTAAGGGTCATTATAATTAGCCATCCCTATATAGGTAGGTCACGGGGAAGGCAGTACAGCACAGAGAAGACAAGCAGTGACTCTATAGCATCTTACTATGCTGATGGACAGTGACTGCAATGGGTGGGTGGGGGGACTTGATAATATGAGTGAATGTTGAAACCACAATGTTGTTCATGTGAAACCTTCATAAGATTGTTTATCAATGATACTTTAATTTAAAAAATGTAATCAGTATAAAAAAATATTCTGAGCTTTAGTTTCCTCATCTCTAAGAAAGGAGTAACAACTACAGGATCTGTTGTGAAGGTTATAAAAAGAGACAATAATCCAAAGGCTCTTCCACAGAGTCTCCATGGTGCATAGTAGAAACTCAGTTCCCACCGTTCAACCGGTTCAACCGTTAATTAACTCTGGAGTTTCAGGTGCACCAGTGAGTTTGGCTGATGTGACACAGTAGATCAGGGGCTCTGGTGGACCCTCATCTATGACATTGGCATTACCTCTGCAACCTTCTCTGTCCTTTTGGAAATAGCTCTTCCCCCAACTGCCACCATGTTATTTGCACAGGAAATTCTATATTCTTACAGACCCTACTGCTGGCCACCGTAGACTGACCCAGAGGTGGGCAACTAACCCAGGCAAGGTCAACAGAGCCTTTTCCTCAATTTTTCAAGCTAAAAGTGAGAAAGAGTAAACATCTCAGATGGTGAGAGTTGCCAGATGTGGAACTTGCGAGTTTTGACAACCATGTTTCCTCACCAGATGAATGAAGGAAGCCAGTGTGCAGCAAGCAGAATGAGCTGCCAGGCAGACGGAGCCGAAGGAGCACCAGGGAGAAGGAGGCGGGGAGGCCGTCAGGTTCCCGGCGCTCAGCTGCATCAGAGCTCCTCCTGGGATTCAGTCACTCAAGACTTCTTTCACTCATGGGAAGTTCCCGTGTCACGCCAGGTCCTATGAGAAGTTCTGAGATGAGATTAGAAGTGGGAGGCATTGATTAGAAAAAAATGCCTGAGAGGGAAAATGCAGAGTGAGACAAAGGAGGTGGAGAGGCGCCAGACCAAGATGCAGGTCGAACCTTTGAGAAGAGAAGAAAGCGGGGGAGGTTGGGTGGGGTACTCTTGGAATTGTGATGCTGTCCTGGGGAAGTTCAGCAAGTCCAGTGGAGAGCCCTCCGGCCACAGCCACCGGTCCGGGGAGTCTCGGGTCTCCCAGGAACAGCCACTGTAGACTCCTGCTGCACCCTGTCACTGGCTGGGAGCAGCTTGCATAGGTGGCCCAATGGATATAGGACAGCCAGTTACATTTGAATTTCAGACAGACAATGAATTATTTTTAGTATAAAGATGTCCCAAATAATACATGGGCATCCTGCATCTTTATTTGCTATATCTGGCTTGCAAGGAGCTTGGACTCCGGGTGAAGACAGCAGTGGATTTCAGAGTGCAGCAGCTGGGACCACTGGTCAGTCGGGCTCCCACAGTTGATCCACCAGGTGCGTACTCTTGCCTGCAGCCGTACTCCAGTACCTTCCAGCAGATTCACTTTCTCCTGAGCTAGACTGGGTTATGCTTTTATCACTTGCAACTCAAAAAGTTCTGCCTGACTGCTACTGAGTTATCTATTGATGTATATATAACCAACCATCTCCAATTCTGTGCTGTAAAATTTCGCAATGTGTGAGGCCTCATCTGGAATGCAAATAGCAAAGGATGACCCCAGTGGCTGGAGGACTGAGTCATCCCTAGGCTTCTTGGCTCATGTGTCTGCTGCCCAGGCTGGGATAGCTTGTAGGCTGGGCTCGGCTGGGACTATCAACCAGAGTATCTCCCCGTGTCTCCACTTGGCTTGGAATTCCTCACCATATGGCTGCCTCAGGATACGTGGACTTTTTACATAATAGCTTAGGGCTCCAAGCACAATCACTCTGATAAATTAGGCAGAAACTGCGGTCACTGATGACTTTGCCTCTGAATTCACATAGCCTTGCTTCTGCTGTTATTCTACTGGTCAAAGCAGCCACAAGACACTAGCTTTAAGGAGAGGGGACCTAGATCTCACCTTTTGATGTCAAAGAATTTATAGTCATGATTTTAAAGTGCCACATAATTAGTTGACCAAGCTGAGGACATCATTTTTTAAAAACTCCTCTTACCTCTTAATGTCTACCAAAGAATTCCTCTATATAGAGTTCTGGCTCTTCATAAAGTTAAGAACTCAAATGCTTACTGAGTCCATGGCATAAAATGCCTTCCCAAACATCTCTTCAGACCATCTTCAGGAGCACTAACATGACCACTAACGTTTTCTGTAGTATTTCTTGACCTAGTCTTTGATTAAAAATTTAAGCAACTGCATAAGAGCAAGAACATCAGAAAAAGCTTATTTTCTTTGTAGACAGAGACCTCCAACTCCATCAATTATTCTCTGTCATTTGGTGTAAAGCTGTGGCTGGAGACTGCAACAGCTGTGAGGATGTGCAGCAGGAAAATGAAAACAGCTCTTTTTACATTCAGAGATCTTGGGCAGATGAACAGCCATTCTTGGGATCAAGTTTCTAAAGATTTTTGACAACCTGGATATCAGTAATAAAGAAAGAATTGATGGAGAAGCATTTCTTCATGTTATGATTGTACACAACTTTGTAATTAAAGATAAAATGAAACATATGGGCTCCTTTTTATAAGGCAGACACGGTTATAAATTCTTTTTTTCCCACTTCTATCTAGGTAGACTTGAGCAAGTTACTCTACTTTTCTGAGCTTCAGTTTCTCCACTGTGCAAAGCAGATAATAATTCTGAGGTAGTGTGAGAATTAGAACAATGAATATGAAATAAAACAGCCAGAATATCCATAGTGACTACTGGGATATAAAAAGGAAAAGTTGAATAAACAGTGGAAATGCTTGCTGTGTGCCAGATACCACACTAAAAACTGCAGGGGTCACAGTGACGACGAAGGCTCATCACTAGAGATAACATAGTCGATTAAGGGGGCACCGCATGTGATAGAAGGAATCAGCCTGAGGCTGAGCT